AAGCTGTAGTCTCAAAGTGAATATTGAAAAGTTTCACGAGCTCGAAGGAATAAATATAAAGCCCCAGGTATTGGGGCTAGTGAAAGTATGGACCTCAGATGCTTTCCTTACTGTGAATATGTTGACTGATTTTGAAGGTTTTAAGATTTGAATAGAATATTGTAGTTAGTGAACCAGTAATGATAAAATTCTCTGTCTACAATTCATTGATGTTATTGTGTAGACCGGTCAGGGTCAATATCTGCCAATGATTTGTTGATATATATATAACACCACCTTTGACATTTCTCAGGCCTTGGTAGTCTGGCTCACTTCTCCGAGGACTCTGGCGAGTCGTCTAATCAGGAAGACGACTACGAGAGCGAGGGTGACCAGAGTGACAATAACGACGCAGATGACATGAACTACATTGACGAACAGCTGGAGCGATGTAATACATCAGGTATGGGGTCAAGGTCATCACTGGGGACAAGGTCATCACTGGGGTCAAGGTCATCACTGGGGTTGTTACAGGATCATAGTTAGATTCAAAATCAGAAGGTGTATACATTGATAACATGGAAAAATGATATCTGTTAATAGAAACGTTCGAGCAACAGCTGAATCCTTTAAGCTGATTTTGTTAATGACTTGGATGTTTATATAAAGTACATATAGAAATGTTGAGGTGCTGGTATTTCTTCAAATGGAAGTCAGATATCACCCCCAGAGTATTGCTACAGTTTTGTCACCTCCATTGGAGATGTGTACAGTGGTTTGAGGCCACATTCTGTTCCTTCACCTGTAGTGTGCAGCAAGATATTTAGATTTCGCTTGTACCTGTAAATTGGAATGCCCACGACTTGGGAATTTGATCATAGTTGATATGGCACTTTCACTTCTGTATGGATAAATGTATGTTGTGTTTGTACCTGTTCTAGGTACCCATGGCCAGCGGACACTCCAGGCTCCTCAGACCATGCAGTGGGCCATCAGACAAAGGGAGGCAACCACAGCCCGACCTCCCCCGGCCACTGGTACTACTACAAATACAGGTAAAAACTCCAGCATGGACCGACTTACCCAGGCAACACCTAGTAAAATCTCAAAGTAGGGCATAAACAACTTACCCAAGCTCCGTCAAAAATATGTATTCAGAATGATTTATATCTGACATGGTCCATAACAAACAGCATTTGATGACAGACTATATTTAAAATCAAATTTACAGAAAAGACTTAGATCCAGGTGTCATAAAAATATACTGATTAAATATAGCTTTGGTCAATGATATTGGGTGATGAGACAAATTCAAAATAAACAGCTTTGCAGTTCGTTAAATTTGTCTCAAAACCAACTCAATTCGTCCCACCATAAAATTGACAAAAGCAAGATTCAGTCTGTATATTTTAATTACACCTGGATCCTTTGATAATAGAAAAAGTCCCGACAAATTTGTATTGGTAGTACAGGAATTTGTAAGAAGGAGTATTTTTGTGTTTAAAGGAGGCAGTGGAGGTCTTATCTATATTGACCCATCAACACTTCGAAGGACGACTACCGTCACTACGACAACCCCAGCAGTGCAAGATACAGCTGTCACCATGACAACCACGGCCAGCCAATTGGCACGTGCATTTGGGATCGTGGTGCGACAGATTGCAGACTTGTTGACAATGTTGCAAGACTATCACGCGTTGGCACCCAGTCTGCCACGTGTACTTGATATCACTGATCAGGACTCTATAGACCTCCAGGTAAAGTCTACTCATGTTAAACCAACTCATTGGAACACCACTAAAGTCATTTCTGTCTTATGAGACTACGGTATTGTAAAAGCACTACAGTAGTGCATGTCTTTTCTCCCGTCAAAGATAATAATTCACACGTGAAAAGATAAGATTGTCTTTCCCTTCCCTTCGGGTTGTGATTCTCCTGTCCACAGACCACACCCATGTAAGATTATTTAAGTCACCTGTTTTTTAAGACGCTGTCCTTTGAGTTTCATCCTTCCTATTTGTATAGTGAACCCTTACGAGATATAACCTTCCCTGTTTAACCAATATCAAAAATCTCTTTGTCATTATGTTAAATTTGAATCAGTTCCATCATAAAAGTTGTTATGGTTGATTCAATTTGAATTATATGCTAGAGACTACCTACCTTAGCTTTGTAGTCGGGGGGGTCTCATAGGATTGGTTCTGTTGATAACCACAGAACTGAAAAGCGAAATCTCAAGAAAGCATAGAAAAATGAGGTGCCTCTCAACAGTGTATTGAA